ATTTAGATAATTTCTTAAAAAAGGGCATGTAAATAGGGAACTAGGTGTGAAAAAAATGATGTAAGTATAAGTGGTAGTTCCCCAACTCATTACGGATGTCCTCATAAAGTTTTTTGAGAAAAAAAAAAATTGGGTGCTTGGGGGCGCCAAATTCACGAGCTATAACATACGAAAAATCGGAAAATTTGGGTAATTTCTAAAAAAGAGCATGCAAATGCGGAAAAGGGCGTGACAAAAATGGTGTGAGTATACGTGGTGGTTCTCCAACTCATTACGGAAATCCTTATAAAGGTTTTAGAGAAAAAAATTGGATGCTCCAAGGCGCCAGATTCATGGGCTATAACACACGAAAAAATTGGGGAATTTGGGTAATTTCTAAAAAAATCATGTAAATGCGAAAATGGGCATGAAAAAAATGGTGTGAGTATACGTGGTGGTTCCTCAACTCATTACGAAGGTCCTCATAAGGTTTATTGAGATAAAAATTTTGGATGCTCTAAGATGCAAGATCCATGGGATATAAAACATGTCGGAGAATTTCGATAATTTCTAAAAAAAAAGGCATGTAAATGCGGAAATGGGAGTGAAAAAATGGTGTGAGTCTACGTGATAGTTTCACAACTCATTACTGAGGTCCTCGCAAAGTTTTTTGAGAAAAAAAATTTGATTGCTCTGAGTGCCGGATCCATGGGCTATAACACATGAGAAATAGGGAAATTTGGGTAATTTCTTAAAAATGGCATGTAAATGCGAAAATAGGCATGAAAAAAATGGTGTGTGTATACGTGGTGGTTCCCCAACTCATTACGGAGGTTCTCATAAATTTTTTTAAGTGCTACGGGGCACCAGTTCCATGGGCTATACCTATCGCTTGATTGATCTAATCAGACGACATCTAGCCAACTCCGCTTTCTAGCGAGGTTAAGGCATGACCTAGAAAACGGAAACACACACGAAAAATCAGGAAATTTGGGTAATTTCTAAAAAAAGGGCCTCTAAATGCAGAAATGGGCGTGAAAAAAAATGTTTGAGTATACGTGGTGGTACCCCAACTCATTACGGGGGTCCTCATTAAGTTTTTTGATTAAAAAAATTAGGTGCTCCGAGGCGCCAGATCTATAGGCTATATATAACACACGAAAAAAAGAAAAATTTGGATAATTCCTAAAAAAAAGGGCATGTAAATAGGGAAATGGGTGTGAAAAAAAATTGTGTGAGTATAAGTGGTTGTTCCCCAATTCATTACAGAGGTCTTCATAAAGTTTTTTGAGAAAAAAAATTAGGTGCTTGGGGGCACCAGATCCATGGGCTATAACACACAAAAAATTACGAAATTTGGGTAATTTCTAAAAAAAAAAGGCATGTAAATGAGAAAATGGCGTGAAAAAAAAATGTGTGAGTATACGTGGTGGTTCCCCAACTCATTACAGAGGTCATCATAAAGTTTGTTGAGAAAAAAAAGTTGGGTGCTTCGGGGCGCCAGATTCATACGCTATAACACATAAAAAATCAGGGAGTTCGGGTAATTTCTGAAAAAATGCATCTAGATGCAAAAATGGGCGTGAAAAAAATGATATTAGTATACGTGGTGGTTCCCCAACTCATAAATGAGGTTCTTATAAAGTTTTTTGAGAAAAATAATTTGGATACTTCAAGGCGTCAGATCCATGAGCTATAACACACAAAATATTGAGAAAATTGAGTAATTTCTAAAAAAATGGACTGTATTTGCAGAAATGGGCATGAAAAAAAATGGTGTGGACATACGTGGTAGTTCCCCAACTCATTACATAGGTCTTCATAAAGTTTTTTGAGAAAAAAAAATTGGGTGCTTGGGGGAGCCATATTTGTGGGCTATAAACACACAAAAACTTACGAAATTTAGGTAATTTTTTTTTAAAGGGCATGTAATTGTGAAAGTGGGAATGAGAAAATTGGTGTGAGTATACGTGGTGGTTCCCCAACTTATTATGGAGTTCCTCATAAAGTTTGTTGAGAAAAAAAATTTCATGCTCCGGGGCGTCAGATCCACGGGCTACACATGAAAAATCGAGAAATTTGAGTAATTTCAAAAAAAGGACTGTATATGCGGAAATGGGCGTGAAAAAATGATGTGAGTATACGTTGTGGTTCCCCAACTCATTAAGGAGGTCATAATAAAAAAATTTGAGAAAAAATAATTTGGGTGCTCCGGGGCGCTAGATCGATTGGTCATAACACACGAAAAATTAGAGAATTTGGAAAAAAAAATTTAAAAAAGCAAGTAAATGCAGAAATGGGCATGAAAAAATGGTGTGAGTATACGTGGTTGTTCCCCAACTCATTACGGAGGTCCTCATAAAGTTTTTTTATAAAAAAAATTTGGGTGCTCTGGGGCGCCAGATCCATAGGCTTTAACATGCGAAAAATTGGGTAATTTCTAAAAAGGAGTCCGTAAATGCAAAAATGGGCATGAAAACAATGGTGTGAGTATACGTGGTGGTTCTCCAAATCATTACGAAGGTCCTCATAAACTTTTTAGAGAAAATAATTTTGGGTGCACTGGGGCGCCAGATCCATGGGCTAGACAAATGAAAAATCAGGGAATTTAGTTAATTTCTAAAAAAGGTTCTGTAAATGCGAAAATGGGAGTGAAAAAGATGGTGTGAGTATACGTAGTGGTTCTCCAACTCATTATAGAGGTACTCATAAACTTTTTTGAAGAAAAAAATTTGGGTGCTCCGGTGCGACAGATCTATGGGTTATAACACACGAAAAATCGAAGAATTTGAGTAATTTCTAAAAGAAGGCATGTAAATGTAGAAATGACGTGAAAAGAATGGTGTGAGTATACATAGTGGTTCTCTAACTCACTATGGAGGTCTTTATTAGGTTTTTTTAGAGCACACAAAAAATGGTAAAATTTGGTTATTCCTGCTTTGGGGCTCGTTCGAACTTGAAAATGTGTCTGTTTACCCCTCGAGACCAATCAACGCCAACAATAAGGTCGTAACGGGTGTCCTTGATTTATTTCGGCCAAAAACAAAACGAGATCCTATATCACCAAAAATCCATGGACTAAGCACACGAAAAATGATAAAATTCAGTTTTTCTCGCTTTGGGGCTTGTATTAACTTAAAAATGCATATGTTTGCCCATCGAGATCAACTCACGCCATTAATAAGGTCGTAACGGATGTCTATGAAAAAAATTGACAAAAAACAAGTCGGGATCCTATATCACCAAAAATCCATAGACTATAGCACATTAAAAATGGTAAAATTCGGTTCTTCCCGCTTTGGGGCTCGTTTGAACTTGAAAATGTGTTTGTTTGCCCATCGAGATCAACTCACACCATTAATAAAGTCGTAACAAACGTGCATGAAAAAACTCGACCAAACACAAGTCAGGATCCCGTATCACCAATTAGTCGACTTTTTTTATTTTTCGTTTGTATTGGCCCGTGAATTTTGCACCCAAAAAAATTTCTGAAAAACATTATGAGGACCTCTGTAATTATTTATTTAATGGGGTGTGCTTGCTTAGTAAGGCAAACGTCGGCATTTTCAAGTTCAAACGAGGCTCGAAAAGGGAAATATGAATTTTTTAATTTTTCGTGTGTTATAATCCATGAATTTTAGATGATATGTGCGCCCAACGGTTTTTGGGGCGAAATTTTTTGTTGGCGCTTGTAACGGCCTATTTAATGGCACGTATTTGTTCAGAGAGGCAGCCGTTGGCATTTTCAAGTTCAAACGAAGATCGAAACGGGAAATAATGATATTTTTTTTTTTCATTTTTCGTGTGTATTATCTCATAGATATGGCGCTTTGGTGCACCCAAAAAAAATTCTTAAATATTTTTATAAATACATCCATAATGAGTTGGGGGAGCATTCATTTTAAGGTGTATTTTCGTATTTACGAGCCAACTTTTAGGAACTACGCGACTTTGTTGATAGATTATGGATCTAGCGCCTTGGAGCACCCAAAAAGAATTTCTGAGAAGTCTTTATAAGGACCTCCGTAATGAGTTAGGGAAGCATTGTGTATAGTCCCACTATTTTTTTAGGCATAGTTTCGTATTTACGAGCCAACTTTTAGGAATTAGCCTACTTTTTAATTTTTTGTGTGTATTAGCCCATGTATCTGGCGCCTTGGAACACCCAAATAAAAATCTAAATTTTTTTTATGATGAATAAGTGTTATGTTCGTGATTATTTGAATATGAAAGAATGTGATGATGTTATGGAAACTTTGATATGTGATTTATGGTGTATTATCGATATTGTGTTGTTCCATTACTTGTGAAATTGTTAACTTGCGATGCTTGCTGAATACCGTTGTTGTTTTGGTACTCACTCCCTTGTTTTCTACACTTGTGTAGGTTACAAGCTCGGATTGTCTTGATCATCCTCTCACATTTTCATCTGAAACTTTGCTTCTGGAGTTCGTGAGGTAGCTGTTGTCATCACAACAGACATCACTTACTCTTTATTATCCCCTTGATCTACTTAATATATAAAAACATTCAGACTAGTATTTCTTTTGAATGAGTTGTACTACTTAGAGACTTGTACATGTGACACTAAATTTTAGAAAAGATTGTGTTATGTTATGAGTTTTGCATGCTTGTGTTATGTTTAGTACATAATTTCATTCTTACTTCCGCTTTTACCTTGTCGAGGGTTGGTTAGACTGACATGCCTTGGTGGAATGAGACAGGTACCATCATGTCCGATTTTTGGGTTGTGACATAAGCATTTCCAATTTTTCTATACAACGGTGTTGCGCACTTCAACATTATTTGTCTTTTCAAGATTTGGACCTTTATCTTCTATGATTTTCAACCGCTTCATTGGCCACTAAGTCACAATCTTGAAAATTTGTGTAGATCGAGGAAACCCTGCCCAATAGATAAACAGGCCGGCTATCGGTGGAGATCCTTCTCTACTTGTCCAACTGTTTTTTCTCAAAGTAAATTATCAACAATGCTTGAGAACATGAAAAGAACATCAGATATTCTAACATTAGTTAGATTTTAACAATCATATACATACACTTTACAAAGAATTACACTCAATCTTTCTAAAATAAGAAACTGTGAAATCCAGAAGAAGAAAAAAACTAACATATTCTACACATTAGTGTCAAAAAGAATTGCCAATGCAAGAAAAAGAGCTTGAATTAGTTGTGGCTGATACCTGAATATGCCACAATCAGCACAAGAAACATATACTTCTACTCCTGTGCATATCTTTTTCTTCAAATCCCCTCGTAAACGATCTTATTGATAGATGCTCCGCAGCATATGTCATGAACGACGCCAAAACAAGGCCTCCAACGACCATCAAACCTAACCTGTGGGTGAAAAATATATACAAGAGTTATTTGACTATTAATTAGTAGACATAAACACATAGAATTAAGCATAAAGTTCAAGATTTTCCAGTGCCATATGACATGTGTACTGAAACAGATGTCGCGGCATTTTGGAGGATCCGAGCAACATAGGTGAGAGTTAAGAATGCACTAGAAGGACATCCGCGTGAAGCCATTACGGTTGTAGAAAATGGTTTATAAATGACATAGTGTGTCAGAGTTGCACTAATTTGAGGGCTTCAGTACTGTCAACTCTAAGGGAAATGAAAGTATAAAGTTAAACCAAAATGGTGACTACTGTAAACCATCTTTTAAGTTTATTAACCAAAAATGATCTGACTTACTCTGGATAATGGATATATGTTTTCTTTTTCGGGGGTATAAGTGTCCTATTCGCAATATCTAATTTTCATCTTTTTATTCAAATGTGCTCATCATTTGGTCAAAAACAGTCGCTCTACGTACACAAGGTAGGGGTAAGGCTGCTTACACACCAAACTCCCCAAACCCTACTTGTGGGATTACACAATATTCATTGTTATTGTGCTCATCCAATGGTCTCAAGAGAATCCCCTTCAAACAAATTGTTCCTTATTCATACGGAAATCAATCATGATGTTGCAACGGACTTCGGCATGCCATATATGAATACTAAATTCAAGCTCCTAACTTAAGACAATTTCTCAGAGAAAACATGCAAGTTTTTTAACAAAACCATGATTCGAGGCAAGTAAACACTATATAGTGTTGTGTCATTCAGACCACACAACTATTAGATGATATGTAAAGCACAGTGAATTGCTTGAAATGCGGGAAAAAGAAATATCAGAAGTACCTCAAAAACAAAGCAGTGATTCCGAAAATACTAGGCAATGCGGGGGCTAAAATTGCGAGAAATGCCATCCCTAACCCATAGTAGCACGCAGCAATGTCACAACATGATTGCTGCCGCTGATGACCTACAAGGCAAGAAAACGCCAATGAAAAACTGTACCTCAAATTTAGTAAAACGAAAACTACTGATCTTACGTCGACCAACCTTTTCCAGATTCATGGTCCAAAGATGTAGAATCTGCCCGAAATTGTGCAGCTTGATTTGCCACAGCTTTTCCCCATTGATAAACCAAGTACAAATAACTTCCAAACTGAAGGAAGAGAAGTGTAAACGTCCACTCGTACATCAGGAGAAGACCAGTCCACGGCATTACTTGGCGGGGGATAATTACAAGTGAAAGCCCAAGAGACACCAGAACAGCAGCAAAACATACACATACAGATATCCCACCCAGAAAAGCAGGCACCTTCGGCTGCAAACAATTTGTGAATTTGTTTCATTTTAATATCTAAGAACAAGCTATATAAGCTTATCATGAATTGAAAAACATAACAACTTTGCAAGCAAAAGATGGCATGCTTGAAATATAACTGAAAGCTATTCTGCAAGACGTGAGAGGCAATTCATTATTTCGATATCTCATTCAGATTAGAAAGGGAAAGAGCAGAAAACAGGACGTCAACAACATACCCTGTGTAATCCCACAAGTGGGGCCTGGAGAGGGTAGTGTGTATGCAGACCTTACCCCTATCTTCGGAGATAGAGAGGCTATTTCCGATAGACCCTCAGCGCATTAGTGAATAAAAAAAAAAGTTCCAAAATCGACAGGAAGGGGCATAGATACCTGCTGATCTGAAAGAATGGTGGATGAAGGAACAGAAGAATAAGCTAGGACACCTCCAGCTCTGATCTTGTAGTACAGCTGTCTAATGTGGTCAAATAGCGATCGTGTCTGCAGACAGCAATCATTTTTCAATACGAAAGATACTTTAAATGCGAACACCTATCAAAGTGATGAAATAGTTTTAAAATTGCTGACCTGTAAACATGACTTATAGTAAGAAAATACCATCAGAAGCAATGGAACCAGAAACAGAAATTTGACAAGAAGTTCATCTCTAGGATTTTTACCCCCTCCAGTTCCAGGTACAGATTCTTGAAGACGTACCCTAACATTCTGCAGATGAGCGAACATAAGGTCATTCAGTTGTTAGAGATACTTGAGCAAAATCCTCTCTTGCACACTAATATACAACTTGTGATGTCATCTCCAAGATGGAAGCAGCCAAGTGCACAAAAATGGGGTTTAGTTGGATAGGGAGACAGAGCCATGGATCATGTTGGCTGGGAAGTAAAATATAGGATTAGGGGTGGCAAACTCAGCCCATAAAATCATGATCCGTGAAACCCGCTTAGGTTTGGGCGGGTTAATGACCCACTTATTTTATTGACTCAGCCCATTTTGACCCGCTTAATTCAGCTCAATTTAGAAACTGGCAGATATGCAAGCCAAATTGATCGATGAGAAACTATCTAAATTTTTAAAAAGATATTTTTTTATTTGATATGTTATATACAAGCATAATATAAGGGAAAAAAGCTTAGTAGGTACTTGAACAAATTACAAGAAAACAAACAAAGAATATCAAATTTAGTAAGAATATGCCGGGGCGGGTTATGGAGTGGTTTTTAGCCCATTTCAACCCAAGTAACTTTTGGGTGGGTCAATAACCCGCCCATTTATCAACTCAATCCATTTTGACTCGCTCAAATCGAGTCCAACCCGCCCATTTGACACCCCTATATAGGATATATGTAAAATGACTGCAGGCAGTGACTAGAGTATGATGGAGAAGAAAAATACCTGCCATATGTCAACAGGTTTTAACAGCCAAGATGTCCACCAATCCCATGGTTTAAGTGGTCCCAGTGTGTAATGAATAACTCGGAGTTCTTTCTCATCAACCATCCACTACAAATATATCAAAGCAAAAAAAAGTCAGAGCAAGGAAGGACAAATTAAAATGGATTTAAGGAAAATCTAGCTCTTGCAGCTAAGACATTTCTGTTCTAACCATATACTCTAAAGTTTACCTTTTCTATCAAAGATGAAATTTTCAAATTTATTTTCTCATGAACCTCTTACCTGTTCCTTCCATTCAAGACTTCCTTTTTACCGACTTCTATTACACCATTTGTTTGTCACAAAACATTTCCTTAAATGGTTATGGACTTATGGTTCAACTTTCTCCACTCCAGACCATATAATTTCTTGGCATAGTTCTTCTTTGTATAGGATATTGTAATATGTATCAATAAGATTGCAGAATTGTTGATACTTGGTAGGCATGAAATTAAGCAATCAAAACCACAGTAGCTTCTAATGATAAAACATGAATGGTACATCATAATGTAGTCTCTTCAGGATAATTTTACTGTGCAACCACAATAAGCCCACGGAATAATGCAAAGTTGTAACACCACATGTTGCAAAAAAGAAGTCCATTTAAAGCCATTGCTTCCCAGATCCGAATAATTATTCTCTCAAAAATTCAATCCAAAAGCCAAAGCACACCCCAAACCCCTCCCTACAAAAAACCCCGACAATAACAAAATAAAAGTAAAAAAAAAAAAACATTAAGCACACGACAGGCAAAAGAACTCAAAAGACAAACCTTGTTAGCAAGCATGTAAAGGCCAACATCCGCATTGTAAAGAGTAGAAAGTCTCTCCATTTCAGGGACCTTTCTAGAATTTAGGACATCTAAAGGCTGATTTGGTTCATAAACACGCGCATTAGCAAACCCAGCATAGTAGGAGTTCAGAAAACCTTGATCACCTGTCAGCAAGAAAAGAATGCATCAGGAGAAAGAGAAACATTTTCAACAATCATCACTAATATAGGAAGACTTTTATTGTTAAAACTATACAATGAAAGCTAACGAGAGTAAAAGGTTGGACTGAGAGGAGATAATCTTAGAATTGAACAGTTAATAGAAATACCATACCTCCAGTGTAAGAAGGCAAAGTGGTCACCTTGCTCATCATATCCTTAAAAACCTCATCCGATGGCTCAATCACCATTACTCCGGAATTTAGTCTCTCGGAATGTTTCAAATTTGCACAAAACTTCCCACACTTAAATAGATCTTCAATGCTCTTAACTACGATAGTATCAGCATCAAGATATACCACTGCCAAAATAAAAGGAGAAATTCCAACATTAAGGAGTAAATTCAGAAAATGTGTGCAGCTCTACTTGACAAAAAGTTGCCCTGAAGTGAAAATGCTTATCTGCCTAAGAAATTTAAATCAAAACAAGCTATGTTCTCTACCTTCTACACCCTGCAAAATTTTTGTTTTCCCTTACTTATGTACAAGAAAGACATGACTTAATTATACAAAGCTAAGGTGAATAGGTATCGGGCTGTCATTGCCTCTGAAGAACCTGAGTGGGTAAGTTGTCCGAAGCCTCTCTTCAACAAGTATAATAAATATGTTGCTCTTTATCTTTGTTTGATCTATTGTTCATTCATTTACAACTTCTGCTATAGTTTCTGTATCATTGTTTAGATGCATACTGGTAGATACTGAAACTTGTTTCTCTTTCTCTTTGCCGGAGCTATTGTTCATTCATCTACAACTTCCTCTCTTAGTTTGTATCTAATGGCTGAGATGCACAATAGCATATACCAAAATGGACAGTTAGTTGCATCAATATTAAAACAAGCTTGTTCCCTAAATGACATTCAAATGAAAGAATAGAAAGAAACCATGAAAAAGGAATAGCTTGAAATTGCTCACCAAGGTGTTAGAACTAACTATTTGTACCAACTATACTATAAGAGGAAACGAATTGGTGCCCTTCATGGAGAAGAAGGCAAGCAATTCAGTTAAATGAATTTGAAAAGCACTCAAAAAAAATTGAAATGTTGGTCATATCCCTTTCATCCTTTGTGTCCAAACTTAAATTCAAGCGCTGAGATATAGAATTACCTTTCTTGTACTTGGTCATGTTAAATACTTTTAGCTTTGTGTAAACACCCCAAAACCTCTTCGGCCTCACTTGATTTGGGTTCGACAGTAAACTAATCTTTTCCACAATCCAACCATCAGCCTGCAAAGAAAGAAACAAAGACGAAATCCTTCAATAAGATTCATAAGCCACGTCTAGAAATGCCTTAGCGTCAAACACAAATTTAAAGATGGAAATCTAGGTCAACTAAAAAGATTATCACGGGACTAATTAAGGCAACCTCAATGTAAAATAACAGTTACTACAACTGAAAAGACTATAGGACTTGCTGAGAATCAAGTGTTGGTTCAAGAGATTCCAGCAGTCCACCAAGTCTTTAGCAGATGGAAAGAATTAACATAGAGTAGCCTCTGTTGGAATTCCACCCTTGCTTCCCAAGGTTATCATCCAACTCTTTGATCAAGATGGTTAGAACTCCAAAACCACCAATCCTACATCCTAGGTCCATCCTATAGGTGAGCATGGTCCTTTTTTTTCTTATAGCATAGACGTTCGGTGACTCCGGTCTAACTTCCACGCACCTCGACTAGTCTACCAGATACTTCCCACCAATAAGGATATGATTAAATTTGCCCACCAAGGAGTGGGCTGATGGGAATAATTAACTCAGAGAAGTCTCTATCAAGATTCCAACTTGCTTCCCAACTCTGCGATCACCTGGCCGCCCTCTTGGGGGTTATGTGGTCCATGTTCATTTCAATGAAATATTTGATGGCATTCCACCTCCAGCCACATTATGAAATCCAAATGTTTACTTAACCTTTTTGCTTGGTGTAACCATTCAAACGTAAAATAATGTTTCTGCGCTTTTAGGTTTTATCAGCCCCTCTATAGTTTTTTAGATATGAGAGACTGAAATGTATCTGGTTTCTGATTGAATGAAAGTTCATCAACCTGATATAACAACATTTAGAGGATTCATCATAATTATACTACAGGGGCAGAGCTAGAGACCTAGAGTATAGTAAGTATGTTCAGCAGAACCTAATAATTTAGTTCAAACCTGTTATTTATCTTAAGAAACTCATTTAATATGTATAAATTAATTAATTTAGTACTCAGTAACCCAACACGACTAAAATCCCAAATCCGTAAGCAGCTTCAAATCCTAACTCCACCACTGTTACACTAGTTTCACTCTAGTTATCTACCTACTGCAACACTCCTCGATTATCCAGCTTGAAAACAATTATACAGCAACTTAAGCTTTTGCATTCATCAAACTACACTAAGCAAAATCAGCACCCATCCGCGAGTGTAGCCTAGTGTTCAATGAAGTGGATTGAGAACCATGAGTTCTACGGTTCAAATTTCATATGTCCAAGCCATAGTGTACAAGTTACCCTAGCTGGTGGGAGTTAGCAGGCTCGTGGAACTAGTCGAAAAGCCCAAATCCATAAGCCTCCACCTTTGTTACACTATCTTCACACTAGTTATCTATCTACTTCAACACTCCTTGATTATCCGGCTCGAAAACAATAACAGCAGCTAAAAAATCTGCATTCATCAATCTACACTAATCAAAAGTAGCACAAAAGGGTGTTGCCTAGTCATTAATAAAGTGGATTAAGAACCACGAGGTCCATGGTTCAAATCCCACATGTCCAAGGCCTCAGTGTACAAGCTACCCTAACTGATGGCAATTAGCAGAATAGCAGGTACCTCGTGGAACTAGCCGATAAGCTTAAGCTGGCACAAACATGACGGTTCTCACAAAAAAGCTAAACTATACAAAAATGAACCAAATGAAAGTAAATGCTAATACTGAGTAACAAAAGTGCATACTCTTAGTAGATCATTAGCATATTGAGAAACCCCATCGGAGACCAAAACAACCATATCTTTAGTAGACCCAGTATCCCTAATTGACTTTCCAAGAACTCTAACACCAAGCAAGAACTCGTCTCCATATAAAAGGGTAACATATGCTTCTTCAGTTGATTGAGATTTGATAGCTCCAATAACCCAATTACTTGATAAAAACATCAAGAAAAAGAGAAACCCATATCTAAAATCAATTTCTTTCATGGAAAAAATCTGAAAAATAAAAATTTGAAGCAGAATTTAGCTTAAAAAAGAGATCTTTTTTTTATTTTTTTGCAGAAAAGGGGAAAAGGGATCTGGGGTTTACTAGAAAATTGTAGTAGAATAGTAATAATTTAAAAATTAAAATTGGGGATTAGTATATTGTTGTTCTTGATTCCTCTTCCCGCTGGTCTTCGTTGTCATCTTCTTCGCTGTCTCTCTGGAAAGTGAAGAAATTTTTTGAAACTTCTACAGTTGCTATTTACAGTATGTGAGAAAAAAAAAAGTAAAATTCCAAAAGAAGAAAAAATATTTGTTTTTGAGGCCTATCAAAATATTTCATTTAAAAATGTTTGCAAGGGTGGATGAGTTGGTGTAACATGTGTATTTCATAAGGAAGACTATGAATTGAATCTTGTGATGGTGGATGAATTTGTGTAATATGTGTATTTCATAAGGAAGACTATGCATCGAATCTAACATACGGGATCTCTCTCATCTAGTCTTTTTCCAATATAACTCGTTGTACCAAACTTGTTTAGTGTGATTTATATCTCATGAGTATTTTGAGAGTTATTACATAGTAGCATGTTTATCTCGTGCACAATCAAAGATAATGGCAATAAGTTTTCCTAAGATTTTCGAAACAAAAAAGAACCATTTAATCACCTTATATTACCTTAACTAAAGATATGGACTATTAACATGAATTGTGAATGAGATAGTTAAGTTTCCTCTATCATTAAATTTATCGACCTTATTACGAGTATCGAAATATCTATTTTCAATAACAAATAAATACATATTAAAATTTAATTTCAAAATTCTATTTTAGATATAAAATTCAAGATCAACATGTTCATTTTTTGTTTTCATATAATTTCAATTTTCTAATTAGACAGTAAATCAAACACAATATTATCTTATTTAAAACTTTATGATGGAACTAATTATTTAAACCATTGACCAAACAATTCCTAAAATATAAATAGTAAGGTGTCATGTTAATTTTTCCTCTGTTGAAAATGAATCTAAGGATGAGATTTCTATTGAAATCAATCAATCATAATTAATTCAAAATTAAGAAATAATGAATTTAAAATAATTGTGATCTTATTGTCATACATTTTATATTTATTAACTAGCATACATGTATATAGTTATTCGAGCTGAAAATAATGAATCAAGTTAACGTCGTATTCATTCTGACTAAAACCATTTTATTTATTATTTTGCACGTAGTATATACTTGAGATTCAAGGGTATTATCATATTGTTTTTTATACATATATTTATGAAGATTCTTAGAAGGAAAATAATTTAAAAGAAAAACATACAAGAAAATGGATTCAAATTATTGGATATTTTCTAAATTGTTTTTTTATCTTGTAACTAATTTCTTTAGCATAAAGTTGAAATTTTCCATTGTATCTTATTGAATATTGCGTTTGGGTTATGGATCGTATATGTGGACTGAACGATCCTACTCATTCAGAAAAAACAAGTAGTCAAAAAAAAAATATTCTCAAAAAAGTTACGACATAAAATAAACAAAAAAGGTGAAAAAATGAAAATTGATTTCTCTTACGAAAAAAGTCCAAAAAAAAGAATTTTCTTTGATTTTTCATAGACATACACAGAAAATAGTTAAGATGTTTAATTTGTCAATATAATTTTTGGAAATTTTCTATTGTTAACACAATTGATATTGTTACCGGTAATGTTTAATATTTACACATTCCTTTAGAGGATTTTCTTTTGAAATGGAATATAACTTCAAGATTTATCATGACTTGTCTTCCTTCTTCTTCTTCTTTTTTTTTTTTTTTTTTTTTTTTGTCTAGTAATAGCACTTAGATTTTAATATACAAGATAGATAAACATCTTAATTTACAAAGTCAAAGGTTTTATATATATATATATATTAATTATATATATACATTCTTAAAATTATAATTTTTATATGTAAAAATTCAATAGAATATAATGATTACGACTTCTTAAGAGCTTAAGAATCATTTTTCAGGCAATCAACTCATCTCCAATATTGACTCTACTTTGAAAAAATTATCATAATAAAATAAATAGAAAATAAGAAAATCACTTTCACTCAATTTTTTATGATAGTTGATAGACCAAACAGAAGGACTAATAGAATATAACAAGCTCTAATCAATTATTAGAATCAATGTCCTCAAACTTTTTATATAAGAAAATTAAAATTTACTTTTATCGAATGATTATGATACATCCCCTCTAGATATGTTTGTGAATGAAATGTAGACTTGGATTGATTTTGTAAACAAAGTAGTTGAAGCATCAAATTAAAACAAAGATTTGAATATTGTTATCTATTTTAAAATAATCAAAGTGATAATTATGCAGATCATGCGAAAAAAGGTTGAAAACAGTCAAATATATAAATTAAAAAATAACAAAAATGATGAGATATTTGATTTTTTTTAAATTTATAAGTTGTAAACTTTTTATTTCACTAGCACATTTTTTGTACTTTCGTGCATGAATGTCAACATTTTACTCTTTTAAAAAGTGTTCTTTTTTATCTTGTCTCCCCACCTTAATTTACAAAAATGTGCCAGCAATGACATCACAAATAAGTGTACTGATTTTCAAATGAAATCTCATAAAAGCTTCCATCTTTTTAGGTCAGATCTTTCGATTTAGAGAGATTGAGTCAGAACTTAAAATTTATAATTTATTTGAATAAAAATTACCGAATAATCGAATTTATAGCCAACACTATCTACTCTATGAAGTTTTGACCTCTTGTTTGATGTATCTTATCTACTCTATGAAGTTTCAATCAAACACGTTAACTCAAACAAAATAAATATTTTAAACGTCCGACCTAGTTTATGTGACAATAATGTATTTGAGTTGAACAAAATATAAATACAGTGTTGGTAAAACTCAATCACAATCAAACTATTCTCGATCAGACATGTAAACCATATTTTAGCTTCACCCCTAAAAACAAGATGTCAAGTATCATCATCCCAAAAGTCTTTTAGATAAGCTTACTTTGTTGAATTAAATGTAGTGTCGGCAAAAATCAAGATTTGCAAAATCTGGAAAATAGTTTTGTGTGTGTGTGTGTGTGTGTGTTTTAGTGAGGGTGATGGATCTACTTTTTTGCTTTACATGGGACATTTTATAGTACACAATCAAGTCAAAAGATTGATAATTGTACATTGACCTAAATCTTATTTTATCTATTTTTTCCCCTCTAAAGGTCCTCATCTAGTCATCTAATTAAACTACTCATGTCAAGATTCAACATATTATAATATTTTTTTTAGTTATAGATGATGTTCAAACTAGTTTTTTATATCTTGAGTTTAATGGCTAAACCAGACTTTTAAAGAAGGAAGTTTTAAGATAGTGAGAAGTAAATACACGAAAGAGTTAAAAGAGGATTCAAACATATCGAGGATCTATCAAAAATAACTTTTATATACCAAACAGATAGAGACAATGTCAATATGTATTATATCCTCTTCAGATTTACTTGTGGAATTACACATGTTGTTGTTGTTATTGTTGTTATTGTTGTTATTGTAATGTTTGAGTAAAATATAGGCATAATACACAAACAAACACTCAAATTTGACTTCAGGTGACAAATAATTACTTTGACTTTGAGTATATACATGTAGACACCTCAACTCGTCTCCATATTGTGTCAATTTTAAACATTTCAACTTACAAAACGATCATCTAAAATTCTCTCAATTTTAGATGTCATGTCAGCATCGGATGTCCACGAAACACAGTAGGACAAGTAGGGGTGTTTAGTTTCCAACAAAGACTATATTGACGTATCTATACACACTCAGAAATTAAAATTTAAGTGTGTGCTTACGTATTATCTATGATATACTTGCATAAAATCCCATGTTGGGTAAGCCACTTAGCATGACAAGGGGTGCTTGAACAAACAAGCAATAGCTTTTTGTGGATTTTCATTTATATAAAGGGAATCATCATATAAAATCTACCAAAATCCAATTCAAAGCAAAAAAGGGAAGAAAACACCATATTTTTTTTCACCAAGAAGAAAAAGAAGAGTTGAGTGACATACATGTTGGACACTTTAGAAAATATGTGACTTTGTGGGCCGAGCCGCACATAAATTTTGACTTAGAAAGGGAGCCCAATGAAGCAACCAAGAAATTGTCTATAGCATGTGAGAAAATGTATTTAGCTAAAAAACAAAAATTTTAAAATTATACCATCTTTAAAAAAAAGGGATAAGGGTCTGAAAAATACCCAATTTTAATCGGATTTGTTGTTGCGATACTAAACTTTCATGAGGACCTATTATCTCCCTAGACTATTTAATACCGTATTTTAAACATATATATTTGCCCACGTGGACATAAAAAATAATGTAAAATTATAAATAGTAATGTGTCCACATGGGCACATATATACCTTTAAAATACACTATTAAATAGTTCAGGGGTAAAAAATACGGAATTAAATAGTCTAGGAAGGTAATAGGTCCTTATGAAAGTTTAGTATCGCAACAGCAAATCCGACCAAAGTTGGGGTATTTTTCAGATCCTTATCCCTTAAAAAAATTATAAAGTAGAATTTAAGCTATTATGATAGGTTAGTTAAGTAGTATTATTATTTTACAAAATAAATAAATAAATATACTGATGATTTTGACAAATTAAATTTTGTATGTTACACTAGGTGAGGATGACATCAAGTTTTCGTGTCTTTTATTGATTGGACCACTTTTTGTACCATCTTTATAGAATTTATAAGTTGCTTAACCAATTTTTTAAAGTCTGATTATTTTGTTATAAATGCGTTGTAAAAAGGTATGTTTCGAGCGTATCGATTTGTATTTTGATGATCAATTTGAAAAATATATTTATTTATACTAAAACAATAATTTGTCATATGCTTATACATGGTTTAAAAAGTGTTTGTAGGTTTAAGCTCTTCTATTACTATTTAAAAATACTTCTTTCCCCTAAAAACTTAGCTAAATACCTCAACTAAAGATTGATCAAACAGACTATTAAAATCAATAAGGAAACTACTACTCTCTTTCTCTATATAATACATTAATTAGTTTTCTTTCTATGTAATAATTAGTTTGAGAGAAAAATCCAATGCCAAATCTCTTAGTAATAAAAGGTCCAAAATATATTAAAATAAGAAAGAAAAGAAACAATTGGACCATCTTTTCCACGTTTTTATGTTTTTATTATATGTACTAATTATAGTTGCCTTTTTTTTTCCACCCCATTTTTTTTTTCATATTGTATTAACTAGAGAGAGAGAAAGAAGAGAGAGAAGTGGCTAAAATGGTAAGAGCTCCATGTTGTGAGAAAATGGGATTGAAGAAAGGGCCATGGACTCCAGAAGAAGATCAAATTTTGATAACTTTTATTCAAAAATATGGACATGAAAATTGGAGGGCACTTCCTAAACAAGCAGGTGAGTTTTTAATTTATTTATTTTTCGAAATAAATAAATAATATAATGAATAATTTCCAATTTTTTTGCTTCTTGTATTTCTTGTCCAAGACATTTTTTGAAAGACTTTCCATCAGAAATTCCATATTTTCGATGAAATAAATAATTCACGTTCTAATTATAGAAAAGATTTTTTTTTATAGTCTGAATAGTGCTTAATAATTGATATTTTTGGTACAATAACAATATATATATATATATATAAACATACAATCATACTCAACTCGTTGAAATTAGAAATTGATTTCCTAAACATAACATTGAAGAATTTATTTGTTGATTTCCATTGCACTCAATTTCTTATAATTTAGTAGTATATATATGGTTCAAATTAAGTTAATTACTTCTTGATTATATTGTTATGATCTTATAATCACTTTCTTTCTTTCTTTTTTCATAAAAAAATAATATATTTTTTTGTTTGAACTTGTTATAGGTTTGTTAAGATGTGGAAAAAGTTGTAGATTAAGGTGGACAAATTACTTAAGGCCAGATATTAAAAGAGGAAACTTTAGTGAGGAAGAAGAACAAATCATCATTAAGCTACATCAACTTCTTGGAAACAGGTACAATAATATTTATTATCATATAGTAATTCTTTAAATTTATATAAATTATATAGTACTAATATATATCACAACTTTGGGCCTCGTTTTCTTCTTCTTATAATTTGTAATTTCTTATTCATGCATGCCATTACATACCTGGGTCGTTTGATTTGATGTATTAGGTATATGGGGATCGTAATATATGATTTTTGTTTGTAGGGAAACAAATTTATAATATCAGAATTGTTATGTGGAGAATAAATAATATAAGAGTTTGTTATTAAATCGAAAAATAATTTTAATATATCTCAAAAGGAAATATTCATATTTTTTATATAGATCGCTTATGTTCTATATATTGTGATTGAATTTCTTTCATAATGATATTTTGTTAGTTTATGTGCTCCTAGTTTTTATATTAAAAGAGTTTGTTGAAATTTTGGAAATATATCTATATCGGGTAAAATATTCTTAAGAAAAATGTCATTGACACACCTCAAACTTGTGAGAATTCCCTACAGTTTATGTGATCAAATATTTTGCGTAAAATTCTCAATAGCTATATGGTAAATAAATAATAGGGGAATTGTTTCTTAGGAACTATACATAGAATTGATGTCTCATATGTTTACTCAATTAATAGTTATTATTTGAGAAAAACACTTTTCTATATTGAAGAAAATTAGAATCAATTTTTTTTTAACTTTATGAAATAACAACTATAGTTAGTATTTGAGTAATCATCTGAAAAATCAACCCAAACTATCTATATTCGTAAAATAATTTTCATCTTTAGATATTCTTATCCACGTATATCTAATGCACATATTACTTAATTCACTTTCTATATCGTATAAAATAATTCATAAACTCCCATATAACTTATATCACCCGTATTAGTTATACCATGTTTTACTTTCGATATTAAAATCCATATAAGTTATATGCAGAATTTAATATCGAAAACCAATCATGGTTTCTATTTATTTCTTATATTCGTGTTGATGTGCAATAAATGTGACTTTTTCCTATTTGTTTCATATTTTTAGATGGTCTGCAATTGCATCAAGACTGCCAGGAAGAACAGATAATGAAATCAAGAATTTTTGGCACACTCACTTAAAGAAAAGATTAGAATTAAAACAAGACAATGATCTACCATCCACTATAACAAATGTATCACAAATATTGGAGCAACATATTCCTTCAAACTATTATCAAGATTCTCAAAATATTGTTGCCTATCATCCAACTTATTATCATGATCAAGAAGGTATTCAAGAGAGTAATTCAAATTCTCATCATGACACTCAATCAAACAAGGAGGAGAACATGCAATATTCAACAAATAATGAACATGGGGACATGACTAGTTTCAACAATGATATGGTTTTTTGGTATAATGTCTTCATGAGTTCTGGAAACAATGTGTCTGATGAGATCAGTTAGAGGTGAGTAATTCAAAATCAAGATCAAGAGTCAGCAAAATAAGTGTGATTTTATTATGTATACGTTTGAAATTTTTGTGTGATACATGTATACATATAGCTTGAGGCGAAAGTCTTAATGGGCCTAGGTTCAGTTGAACTCATCGAAATCGTTCTAGACCCCACCTCTAAATTAATTACTAAATTATGAGAGTTGTATTTCCACGAGATGTGTGTTTATATTTATCATCTAGTAATTTGAGATTGTTGGCATTTATATTTTTAAGTAGTATGTAATCAATTAGGTTGTGAATTTTAATAAAATTGAAGAAAAAACATTTCAGTGTGCATGTTAGCCAGGGAAGAAAATGATTTCCATTGAAAAAGATAAATTGTTTTGTGTGCTTGGTTGAGTAGAATTAAAAACATGTATAATATAATATGACAGTGCTACAAGGCATATAATAGGGTATTAGGAAAATGTTGTAAAAACAATGACAACATGCATAGTACCGTAATTTAACAAGTGAGGTTTGACAATCGGAGGATAAAATACACGTGTGGCCTTATGTCTATCTTTTTGTCGGGTAGAAAGGTTGCTTCTTATAAATCCTCTATCGACTCAAAAGAAATGTTTTTGAAGTAGTAATGCAAGGAGTGAATGAAAACATTGTAAGCAATGGTGAATACTATTTCTACCGCTATTGATGAAGTCATGTCATATACCCACACTAGCTATGGAGTAATTAACTTGAGATAAGATATGGAAGCAGTATAATTATTATTTTCACGAATCGACTTAAGTCTTTCTCTCCTCGTACAATCTCGACTTCAATAAAGAGAGAGAATCCAGAGTTTACTACTATGAGAAAATAATACAATAAGTAAAATAACTTGTGTTTTTAAGAACAAGAAGTTCGCGTGGCCTAATGGATAAGGCGCTCGCCTCCGGAGCGGGAGATTGTGGGTTCGAGTCCCACCGTGAACGATTTTATTTTTTTCCACCACTCGAGTCTTGTTTCTAGAGATATTACTCTCTTTACGAGTAACTCTCGAGCCTTGTTTTTAGGAATTATTGGACGAGCTCAATTTACTATCCTTACGAGTAACATGAGTCTTGTTTCAAGAGATTCTTGGACGAGCTTAGTTTACCCATCCTTATGAGTAAACTTAGTCTTGTTTTTAGAGATTCTTGCACGAACTCAATTACTCTCCTTACGAGTAACTCTAGCTTTCTTTTTAGAGATTCTTGCCGAGCTCAATTTACTCTCCTTACAAGTAACTCTAGCCTTGTTTTTAGAGATTCTTGCCGAGCTCAATTTACTCTCCTTACAAGTAACTCAAGCCTTGTTGTTTTAGAGATTCCTGCATGAGCTCATTTGTTGTCCTTACGAGTAACTCAAGCCTTGTTTTTTTAGAATTCTTGCATGAGTTAGGAGTAACTCGAGCCTTGTTTTTAGGAATTCTTGGACAGCTCAATTTACCATCCTTAGAGTAACTCGGTTCTTGTTTCTAGAAATTTTTGCACGAGCTCAATAACAATCCCTACGAGTTCTAACTCAAGTCTTAGCTTGTTTCTGGAGATTCTTGCACGAGCTCAATTTACCATTCTTATATTACGAGCAACTCGAGTCTTGTTTCCAGAGATTTTTGCACTAGCTCAATTACTCTCTTACGAGTAACTCGAGCCTTGTTTTTAAATATTCTTTGCATGAGCTCAACAACCATCCTTACGAGTTATAACTCGAGTTTTGTTTCTACAGATTCTTGCACGAGCTCAATTAAATACATCCTTATGACTTATGAGTACTGGATATATACTTGGCTAAGAGAATCTTAATGAGTCACTTTTTAAATCAAGACTTCGTCTAGTTTGAGACAAAGATTTAATGATAAAAATAGTTATGGTTCTTTCTTTTGGTATTTTAGATGATACAAAGTGATGAAGTTACCCTTGATCAAAATATATCAATTGACATTAACACTATATGTATAAATAGATATTTTAAAATCATATATATATGTGTATTTTCTTTATTATATTTGACTTTTTTTTTATGAATATGTTGACTCTGTCATTAAATAGGAGATGAGAAAGTAGACAAATTCCATTATTTGGACTTAAAATTTTGAGGATTAGAAGGTAGAGATTATAGTATATATTCAACTTCTAATCAATATGAGCTTTCATTTGAATTAATTTTATTTATTGTATGGGCCATATATAGTTGTCACACCTGAAGAGTTATTGTGTTGTAGCGAAAATTACGATTTCGATAGAATTTAATAGATTCGGTCTAAAATTCACATACTCAAAATTTCAAAACTCCACAATTTTAATGAAAATAAAGAAAGAATTAAAACTTGGAGACAAAATAAATCTGAAAAACTAAATTTCATTGTTTCACTAAAAGGAGAAATGTTCAATTTTTTTAGATTAATTAAGATAATACATTGCCACAAAGTTTCCTAATGTTTGATTTTAAATTAGATATGGAATACCCATAGTGAGAGTTTTATATGAAATATGACTTACCACTTGAATGGAGTTGTCTGGTTCAAACCCTGTATAATGATACAAAAAAACTTCTCTTTTAATAAGTCATATGACATGACTTTGAATCAATGTCTCAATAAAATGACTAATTATTGTAACAAAGGGCGGGGGTAAAAAATTTGTTATGTTTACTTTTCGAGAGTTATTATATGAACTTTGATCATATTTGTATTTTATTTCACCACACATATAAAATTTTATTTTATTTTTATTCATAGTAATTTTTGAATTTAACTCTATAATTAAATTAACTTTCAAAAAATAAAATGTGACAAATATTTTGAAACAGAGCGAGGAGGCTGCTAATAGCAATAACTAAGGTGGTAGTACATATATATAATTTGCCAGACAGAATACTGCTTCCTCCAATCACTTCAAATTAATGCCAAAATTAATGCTTTCCCTTTCTTGCAAAAATAGCCTCTTTCCTCAAAAGCCACTATCCTCAATCATTACTCTATTCCCAATCTCTATTACTATATTCTAATTCTACACACACAAATATGGCTAATGTCCCCTCTTCTTCTTTCTTATTGTTACCCCTTTTCTTGGAATGAAAATCATATCTTCATTTTTATGGTAATTTTTAACTCGGCTCAACTCAACTCGATTTGGTTTTATACTCTCTCTTACTTACTTACACTCAACCTCTTTTTGAGATTTCGATAGTTCTAGTACACTATTCAACTCATGAATTTAACTTACTTTTTCAATCTTTCCTCTTTTGCTTAACAAATTCAAGCTCTTTCAAGATTTCTATATATAGCACTAGCTACTCAATCTAAATCTTCAGCTTGGCTCGATTCTACTCGATTTCTCCCTACTCTTACTTAACAAACTTGAGCTCTTCAAGATTTCTAACTTTAGTACTCAATTCACCTCGATTTAGCTTGGTTTGGTTTATTCTCTCTTTTACTTGACAAACTCAACCTCTTTCTAGATTTCTAACTCTAGTACTCTATCCACTTCAGTTTAGTTCGACTCAATTTGATTTGATTTCAGTCTCTCTTTTTTACTCAACCAACTCAACTTCTTTCAAGATTTCAAGACTATACTCAATTCAGTTAAATTTAGCTCGGCTTGACTCAACTCAGCTCGGTACGCCCACAATAAATTCCCTCATTGTCCTTTTGTCATTTCCTCTTACTACTACTACTATCTAATATCTGAAATAAATACAATTCACTATTAACTTGTACCTAACAATAAATAAACAATAACTTCACAAAACTGTTTTTTTCCTCCCTATTTCAAGAATCAATCTTTTTCAGTTCACCTTAAAAAAGGGGTTTTTGATTTATATATTCCATTTTTTCTTCAAAACCCCATTATAAGATCTAAGTAGAAAACCCTAGAAGTGCAAAAAAAAAAAATGGATTTTGTCATAGCACAAGGAAATAATTTCACTACATCTGCCAACAACATGATTCAAGGTACAAACTTTATTGCCAACAGTACAACCATGATTGCGTCCTCGGTTCCTCCGTTGAGTCGATATGAGAATCAAAAACGTCGCGATTGGAATACTTTTTGCCAGTATGTCAGAAACCACCAACCCCCTCTTTCACTTCCTCAGTGCAGTAGTGCACATATCCTGGAATTCCTCAGGTATGTACCGTTAAATTGTGACTTTTTCATCTAAAAGTTTAAGTTATGACGTACTATTGTTATTTTGTATGGCAAAAGTGGTCCTTTTTTTAAGAAAAAAAAAGATTTTTGGAGAATGACTTTGTACTTTAAAAAAATGTTTTCATGTTTGATTGGAGAGAGATTTTTTAATTTTCTTTTTTGAAAAAATATTAATGGCAGAGATTGTGTTTTGATGAAAAATTTAAGTTTTTGTAAAGATTGATAATAATGTTTAGGTCTGATATGAAATAAACTGTTCATGAACGATTGCAAAGCTAAAATTTTAAATTTATGAATTTTGAATAAATTTTATAAATATTAGATGGAGTTCTTAAAAAATAAATATAGAATTCAGGATAAAATTATCGAATTTTATCGAATTCATTAGCATAATTGGTAACTCTGCCCCTAATTGTGAAGAAACATGATACACTCAAAAAGTGAGGGAATAATCTTCCCCATTCTTGATGGGAAAAAAATCAAAAACTAAAAAATTAGACTTATTTTTCTAGAAAACGTTTTCTATCACATTTTTATTCAATTTATTTTCCTTGAAAAGTGACCAAAGTCATCTCCCCCCTATAGAATTAATAGGAAAAAAACTATTGTCTCGCAAATAAAAACTAAATATTGATTTATTTTTCTAGAAAATGATTTATGTTACATTTTCATTTAATTTACTTTCCTCGAAAACTGAGTGTCATACTTTTATTTGATGCATTTTAGCAGCGAAGTCATTTCCCCTTCTAAACAAGAAAAAATCTTAAATGTTACACAACCAAAAACTAAAAATTAACTTTATCGCAATGAATTACAAAACTAAAACTTGACTTACTTTTTTGGAATTATATCATTTTTCATCACCACATTTAAGGCGATATTATCCTTAATTTTTTTATTTATTTAATTATGTCTTTAACAGGTATCTGGACCAGTTCGGAAAAACCAAAATCCACAACCAAAATTGTCCATTTTTTGGGCTACTAAATCCTCCAGCACCATGTCCTTGTCCATTAAGGCAAGCATGGGGAAGTCTTGATGCACTAATTGGTAGGCTTAGAGCTGCTTATGAAGAAAATGGTGGAAAGCCAGAAATGAATCCATTTGGTTCAAGAAATGTGAGGCTATTTTTAAGAGAAGTGAGAGATTTTCAGTCTAAATCAAGAGGGGTTAGTTATGAAAAGAAGAGGAAGAGGCCATCATCATCAACAAATAATAATAAGCAAAAAACAACAGTGGCGGTTGATGATGGTGATTGTGGTACAGGTAGATGTGCAACTTTTTGTGGATACGGAAATATCGGTAATAATAATTGAGAGTGATTGTGTAGACGGGATTCATGGTGACCAGGAGGTTCTGGCTAGCTGCAAAAACAATTTCTTGTAGAAATGCAAGAGTAAAGTTGCGTACATAAGATCCAATTATGTGATTGATTTGCATTTCAATCCCTAAATTTTAGCGCGTATTGTGGAAGCTTAGTGTATTCAAAATGTGCGCACTTTTATTGAATAATTGCCTAGTTGAAATTAAGATATAATGTAGTGCTAGAAAAACTATTGTAGTTAAATAGGAGAATGTAAAATTAGGATATGATTTTGCATGCATCCCGTCTATATTATAATATAATGAGGTGTTTGTTAATTATACGTGGCATAGATAATCATATTGTAGATGTGTATTTTAATCTGTTGCGGTAAATAACTTTTCTTAATTTTTAAGTAATTAATTTCACTCTATATGGATGATTAGTGTGGTAGTTATATTTTAAATGATCTAGTTGTGACAACATAATTAGGATTTTAAAATTTTTATTCCGAAGTTGCTAGAATTTAAATTAGTTATGTCACAATTGAGTGTTTCTATCCACCCGTTACATATATACAAATATAATGTATATGCATTTTAACATGTTACACCAAGTAACTTATAATCTTAATTTAGGTGAAGTAATTTCACTTTTTATAAACGATTAATTAGTTGTAGTTATTTTTTAAATGGCATAGTCGTGATAGACATAACTAAAAATTTTCAAATCTGTCTTTTGAAGTTGCCAAAAATTTGAACTAATTATGCCACATGAATTAAGGGTTTCAATTCAATCAGTGCATAAACACAATATATATTTCACTCCCGGAAGAAAGTTAAACTCGGCGATCTCTTTATAAAAAAAGAGTGTCTACCTAAATAGACTAGTCTTTGTAGAAATATCACGTCTAGGATTAGAGAAATCAATGATTGTATTGATGAAAATAATGTTGAGTTACAACCTCCTTATATAGGAGAGAATTCTTCATCAACACTTGTTGCAGACACGTCAGTCAGCTTCGTTGGACCTGTTCCTTTGGCATGTTCCAATCGTCAGTTTCCTTCTTCTTCAACAGTCTTCACTCAATCAAAATATACATTGTTCTATTAATTGTTCCTCAAAGGTAATATTAGGTGTTCAAGCTTTTAAAAAATGCTTATAGATGTGTATCAAATTCTTAAATTTTTTAAAATTTGATACAAATAAAATGATAATTTTAAAGACTCCGAGTAATATAGTAATCATAATTGAACCTCATATTTTCATTGACTATATGAATATAAGCAGATAGTGATAAATGCAATTTCATCTACTAACAGAAGAAATCATAATAGCTTTTGTCTATTAAAAAAAATAATGGAGTACTATATATTTACGTACATACTTTTAGTCCTCTCATTTCCAAATAATTAAATGCTAGCTATTAAATAGTTTTTTAAATTTTAATTTTTTGGTCGATATTTGGTGAATTTTAATTTATTTATTGTATGATTTATTTCTAAGAACAACACTCCTTCAGAATATTGCTCGTTGGAAATGATTCTGCGTAAAAAAAAAGATAGAATTTTTAGTAATGTTACAATATACTCAATTAAATTACATTGATAGAGTGAACAAGAACTTTATTCAATATTATTATATTTATAACTTAAATCCCCAATAATTGCTTTAAAAAGATTCTTCCCCTATGCATGACCACTAGCTTAATCTCTTTATCCCATACATGATTTTATGCCAATTGTAATGTAAGGAAACTAATTATCGTAATAGTTGTTGTAGAGTCGTAAGTATCTCTTTATTTTTATTCATAAATCTTGGACTTGAGTCTGGAATATGGAATTGTGTTTATTGTGGACTGTGATTTACCTCGTTGTGGAATTGCGAGTTCATTCATAATGATCAAATTTTATTTGATTTTGTTTTCACATTTCTAGTTATTCACGATATAATTTTTAAATATTAAATTTCAAAATTGTGTATGAGACTTTTATCTCATACGACTCTTTAATGATCAAAAAACATCATTATCTTTCTTTTTGAATTACCTTCCTAGCGTATGTATAAGATTGAATTCATATTCTCTGATTCTACACATTGAACTAATGTAAATATCGAATTCCAAATAAAAAAATGCATAGAAACTATTGAACATTCTAGATTCTTATTTACTTAATTTGGAAAGTTGATTATTTAATCTTATATTAATTATATAGCTCCCCCACTACCTCTTTATTTGGTGCAATTATAGTATCACAATAAACTAATTTGGTTCTTTTATAGAGGACAAATTTAGAATATTAGTGGACAACAGAAGAGCCTATTTGGAAAGGGTAACATATAGTTAGGTATTGACTTATAGTATATAAATTTAATCAAACTAGATCTATTATTAAACTAAAAGACAAAAACACGCATATCTTGATTTGAGATTTAAATATTGTTAGTATAGATCCTTTGAGATCTTATAAAAGTTTTAGAAAATGACACCTTACTAATATCAAATATTTTTACTCCTCACATCTTTGCTAATAGGGCTCATACATCCTTTAATCAGCCTCGAAGGAACGATAAAATTATTTTTTATGTAATTTTTAAATCATGAGTTTGAGTTATGAAAACAATTATTAATAATTGTATTAGGATAAGTTGTCTACATTATAAACTTTAGAGTGTGGTATTTTCTCGAATTTACTAACGCGAGATATTTTGTGCATCAATTAATTTTATTTTTTTAGTCTAATTTATTAATCTCCTCATGAGAATGTTCTTTTGAAATTGGCTAATTAGCTTGTTTTGGTGGAAGATCCTACTACTGAAAAATCTTGAAGATGAATATTTATAGGAATAAAATATGATGTGCTCCAATAATTATGTGCAGACTCCAATAAACAGACAAAAGAAAGAGGTGTCTTGTCAAAGAGTTATAATTTTATGTACTTATTTACAATATAAAAATATTTATATAATTAAATTACGTGAAATAATAATTATAAACAAATCTTTACGATAATTTACTAAAAATAAAATAAAATACACTATGAGGATATCTATTCGGTTAAACTCGCTTATAAGTATTTAATTAGCTTATTTACGTATTTGATATTTTTTTCTAGTTCACAGAATATCATTTTCAAAATAAAACTCCTTTTAATTTTTATTTGTCGTTCCTCATATACATTTAAAGTTACGATATTTTATAAGAAAAAATAATGAGTACGTGGTTAGAGTATTTTTGAGTTCGATAAATTCAACATGTTATATCAAATCTGTTTGGTTTTAAAAGGTATGAATGGAAAATGAAGAGTTGCGATTTTTATGAAGAATTGTGATTGAAAAATTGTGTGACTTTTATGAAAGGTTGTGACCTTTCCAAAAGATTATGATTTTTCCAAAGGGTTGTGACATTTTCGGTAAGTCACAATAAGATTTTTTTCACACTACCCTTTGTTTTCTATAAACTGAGGGATTTCCTCTCATTTAAGAGTATGAATTTTATGGACTTCTTCTACTACTACTAAATCTAGTATTCTAAGTGTATTTTACTGCCGTTGAGTGGTTCGCTGACACCGTGATTTTAGGTATCGATTCATCGGTGAGTAAGATCGTGCTATACTGGGAGGATATATTTCATTAATTAATCTCGGGTACTTAAGGAGAATAATTTCCTTAAGGGGATATTATGCATTCAGTGGACTCAATTTTCTTCTTTGAGAAAAATATTTTATATATTGTTTCTAATTCTATTTTCTCTACTAGTTTTAATTTTCTAGTTTTAAAAATACTCTTTAAACTTTGTTGTTTCTTATCAAAAATATTTTATATATTGTTTCTAATTCTATTTTCTCTACTAGTTTTAATTTTCTAGTTTTAAAAATACTCTTTAAACTTTGTTGTTTCTTATCAAGTTCTTCAAAGTTTTGTTCTTAAGTATCTTAGGAATACAGGATTAATAACAAAATCTTGCATGGGAAGAAGCTCAGGAAAGAGATTAGTCATGTGAAATTTAATTTGAGCAATAAAATACATAAATAATAAATAATTTTAATAATGTGAGATATTTTTTTACAATTTGTGTAAAAACATAGTGTGGGGTATGTATATATATATATATATATATATATATATATTGATTGAATCACTTCATGACTACCCTAAATAGTACAAATGTTTAAGAGTTCAATGACATGAAGACAATTTGTACAAATGGGTGCAAAGAGGTGGGGGTGTGAAAGACGGTGGTTGCTTTTCTCTAGTGAGATTGGATTTTTTTTTTCTCATTTGGTATTTGAAATCCGCACATAAGTATCGACTAGATTTGAATCACATAATACATGATTCATTTTGAGGTGACATTCTCAATAGGATTTTCTTCATATTCAGGGTTCAAACTCGAGACTTTTAGTTAAGATAAGAACAACCCCACCATTGCACCACAACTCATGTTGATGACACTAAATTATTTCTCTTCTAAATAAAAATATGTTTATACTTTTTGTATTGATTTCTCATATGTTATTTGATATATGCTTTGCGTCCTAATTAATCTGGAGACACATTGAAAAATTCCACTTAGAGAGTAAAATATTTCCACACAAAGATGATTACTCACCGTTCAAATTTGAAATCACTAATTAAGAATGAAAAAATACTTATCAAGCCATCACAATAGGAGTCAAATTATTTGAGTTTGTAATGACATTAAAAGTTGAGGTAAAATGCATTTCAACTTTTTATTTTGATTTTTCACCCAGTATTTGAAATTTGTTGTGAGTTTTTTAGTATAGCGCATTTTAACAAAGACGATGACTCACAATTTAAATTTGAGACCACTAACACTCTATTTGGATGATTATTATATATTATTTCATAAACGAAGAAATATTTATCACGCTATCACAATCTCGACGGTTAAAACATTTTAACTTATTATCCTCGGGCTACCTGGCTTAGCTGTCTGCAAATATAGCTCCCGCAAATTACGGGAGTAACGTGTTGTACTATGCTGACACGTACTCTCTGTGGTCCCCACAGCTTGTCTAGTCTCCCACGTGTCAAGTTGTACTGCTTGTCGGCTCGATTTCGAAAAAATTCAAATCAGCGGCTTCACCTTTGCCATGCTGACACGTGGATTAATAAAGACCGTTCGATCTTCATGATCCTTTTGTCCGTACAATTACATGCAATTTTTTTTCCATCTTTGGCTTTATCGTATGTTTGCTA